AAAGTGTCGCGGCCATTTATTATACTGTCCGTTATATTTGCTTTCCCTGACCAATTGAAGTAAGTATTAAGGTTACAAAATTAATGATGAATCTTTTCATACTTCAAAACCTTAAGGAAGTGGATTAATCTCTTTTTAACTAGCGGAAAAGCAAGGCTAAAAAAGGTTTTTTAAAGCTTACTAACTCTTTCAACTCTATAAATTTTAAAGTGAATAAATAAAATAAATAAATAAACATAGGTTAGTTTTTTATAAAATGTATCGTTTAATAGATTTTAGTTTTAAGTTAAAGTGTATTTAGGTCTAATCTAGCTTACTCTTATGTTCAGTTAATTATATGGTCTTGTTTAAGGAAGAGGATTGATCACAATACAAACAATTTCGGAGGCTGAAGCCCCCAAGAACCCTCAAGTGCGCCACTGAACTCAACTGCCAATGTGGCGAGACATGTGGGGCTGTGGCAATACGGCTTTACGGCCGCATGCAAGTCCGCCCCGCCATCGTCCTACACGCCTGTCGGCGCTGTCAAATAACTGACATTAGCCGCCGCCGCCGCGCCGCTCCACCGCTGCACCACTCCCCTCCACTTGGAGAGCCCGAACCGCTGCACCACCGCAGACGACGCCGAGTTGCCGCCACCGCTCCAGAGTCGCACACTTTCGTGACTGCAAACAATAAAAATTTCGATTAGAATGTAAGAGCAACAACCGTCCGCGCAACTTCAGCTGCATTGGCAACGGCAATCAACTTGTGCGGAGCCCGATCACCGGGAGAGTGGGGCATGCGGGGGCGTGGCACAGACCTAAAATTATAATAGCAAGAAATAGCTAAATTGTATATTAATAGAAAATGAAATCAAAAATGCTATGCAGTGCAAACGTGCGGTGCCGAAATTTGTGGGCCAATCATTACACTACATCGCTTAAGTTAAATATTGTTGCTGGATTGAAAGTGATTTGCAAGCTTGAAGGACATGTCCATTTAATAAAATGGTAACGAACGGAATGAGGTTTTGTAAAAAATAATTTAGGCTAAGCACAACTGCACACCTGGACTTATTCAATTTAAAATTTTACGTTCGGCAGATCGAATGCTTTGTTTTCATAATTTATGCATAATTAATAATTAATTAATCAAATTGTAACGACTGCTGGCCTTGAATTTGCCTTCCGCTCCTCATTCATTTTTGTGTGTAAATGTGTTGTCTCCTCGACTCTCCATATCGGGGTATGAGCGAGATGAAAGGATGCAGGTGTTTACATCAAAAAGGATATAACGGAAACGCTCTCAAAATTGTGTGTATTAGAGTGTCGGGATAAGGTCAAAAACGACACAAGCGAAGAAAAGGACGCTGGGAGAAAAACGTCAGCAGATCATGTAGATTATGCCACGCTACGGCAATCATTTCTGTTTGGAGTAGCTCGACGAACAGCCAGAGTTGGAGGACGACTTCAGTGATTGTTCAACATCAGAAGTGGGATTACCCAGGCAATAACTGGACGTACACTATAAGCAGAGTCAACATGTTAATAAATAATGCAAATAAGCGTTGTAATAATTATAAAATAAAGTAAGAATAATAAATTAAATAAGAATAATTAATTAAATATGTCGAACAAAATACATAAAGGCAAAACAGCATCGATTTATGCCGATTTTTGTATGCAGTTTCTAGTTACATTTTTCACCATTGTTTACATGACAGCTTTATGATATAGTCCTCCGATTTTTATGAAATCTAATTCAAAATTTAAGAAACATTAGAAAACTCTATATTGTCTGATATAAAACAACGATGTTATAATTTTATGTAGGTTTATTCTATATAGATTTTTTATCATTCCTATGCAGCTATTTAATATAGTTGTCTGATTTTTATGAAATTTTTTTCTCGATTGAAGGGTAGTAAAAAAACACGATTTTCCAAAAACCCTGTCCTTGGGATAAAAAACAACATCATTATTTTTTTCAATTATTTAAATATATATTTTTCGATCTTTCCTATGGCAGCTATATGATAGAGTTATCCGATTGTGATAAAATGTAGTTCGAAAATCGATAGTAGTTAAAAACACCACTTGGACAAAATCTAGTCGATATGATTAAAAACAACGGAGTAAAAATTTTATTTCAAACTCTCATATGGGAGCAACCCGATATAGTCGCCCGATCTGGGCCGTTCCGACTTACATACATATATACTGCGTGCAATAACTACACAACTTTTGGGAAAGTTTCAGCAAGATAATAGTAAAACTGGAAGACTAGAAACAGACAGACCGACAGACGGACAGACTTATTTTGATTCTGATCGTGATGCTGATCAAGAATATATATACTTTAGAGGGTCTGAGGTGTCTCCTTCACTGCCTTGCAAACTTCTGACTGATATTATAATACCCCTTGGTCTGCAAGGGTAAATAATAAAGCTTTATAAAAGAGTATGGGTAAATAATATCGCGTGATACATTCAGATTTTCGATTTCTTTTCAGCTTCAGCTTCAGCTATCTTTCAAATCGTTCTCAGATAATAAACTCCATCAATTAATCTTACAAATGTAGACTTATAAAATTTTCACAAGGTATTTGATATTTCAGACGAGAGCTTTTAAAAATACACACATACAAGCAAACGGTTTAGAGTTACGTTAAAATTTTTAGGAAAAACAGAATTTATTCGTTTTTATTATTATTTTGATTCATATAAATATACATGACAAGAAATTTAAACAAGAAATTTCTGCCTGGGTGGGTGCGCGTGCGTAGGTGCGGCTTGAGGTAAGGCACGCATATCTAAATTTCTGGGGTGTTCCCTGTGGACATTGGCCTAAAATCTGCGGGCGGGCACATTTGGAAGATCAATGAGCGCGGTCAGTACCAAATTAAACAAGAAAGGAAGCTAGCTTCGGCAAGCCAAAACTTTTATACCCTTGCAGTAATCAAATATGTCGAAGCAAATACATAGAGGCTAAACAACATGGAATATTAAGGCTATATGTTCCGACTTAGTATATAAGTTATGCGTGCAATTACTACACCTTTTGGGAAGGTTTCAGCAAGATAGCTTCAAAACTGAGAGACTAGTTTACATAAAAACAGACAGACGAACAGACGTGTATCGATTTAGATGCTGATTCGTAAAGCTGATCGTGAATATACATATATACTTTATGGGGTCTGAAGTGTCTCCTTCACTGCGTTGCAAACTTCTGACTTAAATTATAATACCCTTTGCTCTGCAAGGGAGTAAAAATGTGTTATTAACTAACCTGACGACTGAACCCCCAAAATAACTGGTCGCTCGTGTAAAAAATCCGCTGCTTCCCCAGACCAAAACTTGCGGAAAATTCAGACAAAATGTAACTCTCTCTTGCTAGACAGCAGCCATGCTGAAAACGAGCGTTGGGGTTAAATTTTCCCACCAAAAATTTTTGTACGATCGCCAATCCACTTAACTTGCACGACTTTTTTTTGGAGCACAAAACTTGGTGCATATGCACGGCACGGGGACTCGATCGAAAATAAATTGGCCGGATGGAAAAATTCTGGACCTACGCTATCGACGGAAATGCAGCGCAGCTGGCGGTAAAACCATATGAAAAAGTTGGAGCTTTCCAAAAACGCGACAGCTGGGTACGCGATAGTTACGAACTAACATTTGGCTATCTCGCCAATAAGCACTTCCTAAAACCGATCATTATCAGCTATATTTTTGGGATGCATCTAGCTAATTTCTTAAGCTGAATCAACGCAAGGATAAGTTATTACGGAAGATGATGAGCTACATAGGTGAAGGCCAGTTCAAATGATCTGCTGGGTTGAAACGTTGGTCGGTTCAAATGATATGTTTGTATTGGTGGTAATCCGAATCTCATGGCTTAATGTAGTGCAAATGTTTGTTTATATGTGAAAATTTAAGATTGATTTGCTGGTTAAGGACTGAAAATTATTGTATGACTTCTGAGCTCATGAAAATGTTAAATAATATAGTTTGGGCTGAGAAATGTTATATGCCTTTTGAGTTCATGAAAATGTGAAATAGTTGAGTTTGGATCAGAAAGAGAATGCTAAGTTGATTTGCAATTCGTGAGATAAATTATCTATGAGATTTTGATTAATGGGAATATAGTTACATGTACATAGTCTGCTTTAACATGAAGACATCGAGTTTTATTTACTATTGAGAAATGATGTTAGGCGATACTTACGATCTGAAACACTCGGGGACATGTGAAGGTCAGGATGGCCATGTTGGGGATAAGTTGACAAATTCAAACTGTAACCACTGCTGGCCTTGAATTTGCCTTCTGCTTCTCATTCATATTCGTGTGTAAATGTGTTGTCTCCTCGACTCTCCATATTGGGGCAAACGATTCTGTCGTCAACGGTAGTCCGTGCGCTGGTATGAGCGAGATGAAAGGATGCAGGTGTTCACATCAAAGGGGGAATAACGGAAAAGATCTCTAAAGAGTGTGTATTAGAGTGTCGGGATAAAGTAGAAATCGCCACAAGTGAAGAGAGAGACGCTGGCAGAAAAATGTAAGCAGCGATATATGTACAGTAGAATCCGCTTATAGCGACTTTCAAGGGACCGACGAGTTTTCGTCGTTATACCCCGAAGACGCACTAAGCAGAAGGATTTAAGTGTATAATTCTGTCTGGGGACCAATCAAGCCATCGAGTTTTCGTCGCAATACCCGGACGGACACTATAGGCGGAGTCGTTATAACAGGATTCTACTGTATATAAATAGACCATTGACATTGGAGAGCCATGGAGACCATGTAGATCGAGCCACGCTACGGGAACCATTTCTGTTTGGAGGATCTCGAGGAACAGGCAGAGTTGGAGGACGACTCTAGTGATTCTTCTACAAATATTTCCAGATTTTAAGAATGTTACGACCTATGCACATTTACGATACTCGTATAAATACACATGCGAAACAAGTTCAACTAATCTCATCGGTAAATTATTTGGAAATTGTGTCAAAGTTACAAGTAAGTTCACTGTTTGTTCCTATACTCATACTCAAACACTTCCCGTAGACTGCAAGGTTGACTAGTTCCCAAAACGACAAGCTGTTCCATAAATCGTCTTCCTGAGACGACGTGTTGAAGTTATTTTGGGTACACAAGAAGGTAGGCCCCTCCAATAAGCTAACTTAACTGCCCTAACCGAAGGACCACTAGAAAACTTAGACGAGGGAAATGGCGTTCCTGGGACGGGTGAACAGTGAGGGAACCCTAATCGACTGCGAGGTTTTCAGCGGCAGACTGTCCAAGATCCAGCCCCAGCAGAGTTATGCAGAGGATGGGGCAGATGCCCTGCTCCCGCGGCCCGAGGGATCCAGGACCTTAATTAGGACCTACGACGAGGACAGCCTGCTGCGCTCCATGGGGAGCCCAAGCACGGTGCGGTACGTGGGCAGCTCCGTGTCGTCCAGTGAAACGCCCTCGTTGGACGAGACGGAGACCTCCACCCTGCGCTGCAGCTCGCGAGGATCCGCCGGCACTCTGGTCTGCCACCACAAGCACCACGAGTGCCCCGATCAGGAGAGTGTGTCGGAGACGCTCTGCCTGGACCTGGACAACCCCAGCAGCAGTCCGAGCAGCAGCAGCACGCCGAGCAGCAGCAGCAGCCGCGGCAGCAGCAGGTCGTCCTCCTCCAAGGACTCGACGACCTCGATGTGCAGCTGGGAGGAGGCCATGTCCCGGGGCGAGAGCTTGCTGGCCCCGCCCGAGGATCCGCTCAGCCTGAGCCTGCCCTCGCTGCGCCTTGGATCGCACGGTGGGTCGCCGCCGCTCACCTACACCCGCCGCCTCGACCCGCACCGGGTGGAGCGGTCCGCCAACGAGGCCTTTGAGAACTGGCTGTCCGGCAAGCGGCGCAACTGCCAGCTCAAGGCGCGGGCGGAGCAGGTCGCGCGTGAGGAGCAGCGGGAGCGGACGGCGCTGCGGCAACGGCTGGCCAAGGAGAAGTACGAGCAATGGTGCCAGCAGAAGGCGCGGCAGGCGATCGATGGCCACTCAAGGGTCTCGCAGTCCACGCGGGTGTCTCCCGGAAAAGAAGAAGCCTCCGTGAAGCACCAAATCCAGGAGTGGGAGCTGCAGAAGATCAGGCTGGCCGAGCAGCGCCGCCTGGAGCTGCGGAACGCCGAGCGGCGGAAGCAGCAGGAGCAGCGTATCCGTCAGGAGGAGGCGGAGCAGGCCTTCCAGCGGTGGATGAACAACGTGGCCCAGAGACCCAAGCCGGTGCCCTCCAGCCAGGGAATCCAGTCGCTGCGCGGCACCGTCTCTAAAATCTTCATCAACCCCAACCGGTGGGTGGATTGAGACAGATGATCCGACGAGGAGCCGAAAAAAGAATTGCCCACACAGGTGGCTTGGAAGCCTGTAAGCCAAAGTTTTATTCAAGTGCATATTTACCCATTTCACACATTAAATACCCCAAAAACTACGACTGGTCGAGGGAAACTTGGTGGGAAAATGGGAAGGGAGGAGAATAGAGACCTAATGGCTCTAATGATTTATGATTTATTAGTTTAATATCATATTTAAACTTCAAATTTCTTTGAAAAAAGAAAGTTCTAGAACTAACCCATTAACTTTTGGTATTAGGTTATTAAAAAGTGGCTACAACTTTTGAGATTTGTGTTGGTTTTTTTGATTTAGACGGAAATTGTGACCTTCAAGTCACACGACACATGCACGCTGGAGACGTCTCGGCGAAATGCTTGTACCCGATATATATTGACATATGTATTTATAATTTAATGAAAAAAATTGAGAAGACCGTTGATATATATAAAAATAAAACCTGAAAGTTTCGTTTCAATTGAATATTTATTTCCTTTCCAAAAAATTCCTCGAGAAAATGGATTTTTTTTAAACCTTAAAAGCAGGCTTCCCCCTTAATCTATTTATCTGAAGTATCCTTTTCAACGAACAGAGGGCACAACCTTTAAACGACCATCCACATGCACTGTATGGAGAGAGTTGATGAAGAGGGGTCCGATAGCTTGCGACTGGGGAACACAATTACTAACTAGAGGTCACAATGAATGTAGAAATGCGAGTATGTCTCGATTTCAAGTGTTAATAAGTGAGAGACAAGGGTCGTAAATGAGATGCAATACCAAGTAGTCTGCCATAGCTCTTTTGTGGCCTTAGCTTAATTCTGGTCATTAATGAGACACGACTGTGAAAGTTGGATTTCAATTCAATATTCGTGCAGGTTAAAACCTTGTATCAAGGTAGAATAAAAGTCGATTGTCACTTTGACTGGTTAATTACAACTGGCCTTTGGTGCAAGCACTGAAATCTGACGCAGAAATATATATTCAGATTTAGGTGTCCAATTTCTTAACACTTTACATTTACTGTCAAAAATGCATATTAAATGTGGGAGGCAACAGTTTCCCATATATAGTATATCCACTGGATCCTACAAAGAATCCAATATAGTGGAGATCTATAGTTTTTCACTGAAATTTGCATATCTACGTTAGCATCAAATAACTCAGTTACCAGAATAATAAATACTTTACTTGGGTGAATGCAGCATATTATTTAATAATGGATAACCCTACAAATTATCTTTTCCAATCTGAACAGAATTAAAATCAAAGAATTAGGCCAAAAAATGCAATATTTGTTTAAATAACAATCCCAAATGTTTTTAAAGAATTAAAAACAGTAGTATAATGGATGTGTTGATAGCTAGGCATTCATTGAGCGCAATTATTTCGGGCTCCAATCGAACGGGCGCTTTGCTGAATTTTGACTTTTCTGAAAAATATGTGCAAGAAAGAAAGTTAGTTTTGGCAAGCCGAAGCCTATTTACCCTGAGGTTGAAACTAAATCCACCGCTTTTGGAAAAGAAAGTATCATTAATACTGCTCCAATACATCGGATTGCTTTCTAGTCACTTTACACATTTGTAAATTTTCACTGGAAAGAAAACTTCTGACTTAAAATGCAATACCTTGATATAGGGTATGATAACGACAGCGACGACAGAAATAACACTCTGAAAGAAAACAAAACCCGCGGCCGCAATTAGTTTTTTGGCACAAATCACACGAATAATCAAAAATTAGATAGCACCTGCTGACCTGCCGCCGATGCAGCTATTGTTTTTAATGCAGCTGCGTCGAAAAACAATAGCCAGAGATGCCCGGAAAGCTGTTATTCCATGATTGCGGTGAGTTTTCGGCCGGCTTTGCTTAGGCCTCCTCGCCGGTTGTTACGCAGTTGGCAGTCATGAAACAATAATGTCCGCAAATTGACGCCACAAGCTGTTGGTTCAACGAGAGCCGCCTCGCACGCACACTGCCACACGAACGTGCGCCCATCTGCGTCTGCGGCACTTCCTCTGCGCCGCCATATTGAATTCGAGCCTCTGCTGGGGCCTCAGCACCATCTTCCCGCCACCCCCTCTCCCCCATTCCCCTTTTCCCATTTCCCCCATAACCCCACTTCGAGTGACCATTGCTTTCGAGCCTGCTACGGGCTCTATGGCGCACCTCCTGCCCTCCACTCCGTGTTTCGGTGCTGTTTTTATTTGCCAGCTTGCTTTCTGCTGGTTAGCTGGTCGAATTTCCCGCAATTTCCAGCTCCCAGCCAGATTCTACCTCGACGTCGCCGTAACGCGTGTTGCCAACCAAAATACCAGCTATCGTACTGGTTCCTTTTCCTGCCTTTTCCTCTTCTCCCCTTATGGGCAATAATTACACTAGTTCACAAAGTTTTATCCATCATTTGCTCCAGTTCGAAAAATCACACTTTTTTCTGTATTTAGGTTGACTATTAAAACCGCAGAAAATGATATCTTAAGGTTGTTATAGAAATAGTTTATAGTCATTGACGATGCTGTAATTTCCTATCGGTGGAGAAATTAAACATACACCTTCTTTATTTTTTTTTTACTTTAGAAAATTGAAAGTACCTTTAAGATTAAATTACTCATTTTCTTAAAATTAATTCATAATCCAAAAGTGGTTTGACAACTTTATAATTCGGAGTGCTTGGCTAAATAAACCAAAGCTGCTATGATTTTTTTCTTATTTATAAAATTCGGGGATTGCTATTATCATCACATTATAACATCTTTGTTTTTCACCAGATAAGCATGATTTTTGGAATATAATGTTTTCTAACAACTCTTGAATTACGAATTAAATATGATAAAAATCTGACAACTATATCATATAGCTGCCATATGAACATTAGTCAAAAGTATGGAAAATTAAAAGAAAAATCGTCATAGCTTCGATGTTGGCTAAAGGCTAACCTTTATGCATTTTGTTCGACATATTTAATGACTGCAAGGGTATATAAGCTTCGGCCTGCCGAAGCTAGCTTCCTTTCTTGTCATTTGACATTCTTATTCTTATTTTCAGGCAGGTTGATTGCCTTACAAAGAAAAATGGAATTTTTCCTATACAAATAGAAGCTTGGATCTCCTTGTGATTATAACTAAATGTATTATTATTTATTTAAAAAACTAAAACTTATTTAAAAAATTTATTTTGTGTAAGGTAGTGAAAAAAATCCTTCGACCTGTAACTTAACTTGTCTCGGAGAGTAACTTTTGAAAGCCACGAGCTTAAGCCAAATATAACCACAATATATTCTTCAAAAAATAAAAACATATTTTTACACTTTCTTTAATTTATATGTCCTACTTCGAAATTGCTACTATTAAACTGCAGTTTTTTTCGAAATTTAACATTAATCTAGTTTACAATTTGGTAAAAGTATTCAACTTCCTTATGCTAAAAGCTTCCTTTGTAACAGAATATTACGTTTTAAACTCATTTAATTTTGACAAAACAATTTTACAGACGCTTATAAATATTTTCTAAAAAAAAAAAACTAATTAATAAAACGAATATCAGCAAACCGCGCTTTATTAAATTAAAGGTAATTTAATAGCGTAATCTGGGTGACATCCTTACTATCCTCCGTCCTCGACAGTACTGCAACCAGAACGTTTGTAATGTGCTTGAGTTTGGAAACTTTGGTTGAAAGGGATTTTTCGCTCGCAAAAATATCCTTCTTGGAAACTGAATAGGTGTGGTGAGTTAGTCAGTACGGAGATAATCATCCTGCGGTTACAGCCAAGTAACATGGACTATGATCCTATATATATGTAAAGCTATTTGCTTGCATTCGGTCCTTAAAAATTTAAATTCATAGCTTAACAGGATGGGATGTAAAGTTTTGAGGAAAGAAAGGTAGCATTGATAAGCATTAAAGCATAATCATGTTCGAGTTAAAAAGAAAATGTATGAACGAATATATCATACTAACTTAAATACATATAATGCCAGGAGAGGAAGAGTGTCTAATAAAATTATGTTTCAAAGTAAATATATAAGGACCTTAATAAAAGGTTTATTAAAAGTAAAGATATAACGTAAAACCAAAACAGTAATGACGACATTCTCGTATCAAACGTGTTTAATTTAATACATTTGCTATAAAAAATAGCTCTGCCTAAACTTCGTTTTAGATGATTCTAGTCACGGCAAAAAGTTAACCATACGATATACAGCATTTTTAGTAAATACGCTGATAAGTAGTCTATAAAATTTGTGGACTAAAATTTAAATTTGTCGAACAAAGTTCGCATTTATAAATCGATTCTCAGTCCAATCTGGAAATATGCATTACAAGTCTATGGCATAGCGCCTAAGTCGAACCTAAACAAAATACGAAAGCGCAAAGCCAGATTGTGAGATCGATTTGTAATGCCCTCTGGTTCATGAGAACCAGAGATATAGCAAGAGATCTCAAAATCCCAAAGATTGGCGATGTTTGTCGAACGCATGCTGAAAGCTACTTCAGACGCCTTGGCTCTCATCCTAACTCCCTGGCGAAGAGGCTAATTAGGAGACCAAGAAGAAGAATGTCATTTCACACAAATCATTGAGAGTTCCTTTGCTTTGGAAATAATTTCTAAAGTTATCGAATCGCCCCTTTAACTAATGCACCTAACGTGGGATTTAGTTAATAAGCATTTTTAGACCAGATTGCATCGCAAATACATTACGAGCAAAGGTGGGCATGCAGGTCCTCTGACCACATTGTAGCACGAGTGCTCGAGGGGAACTGACATCGCAGTGCGCATAGTAAATACATTCGATTTGCATACTCTACCTTGGGTGCATCGCGTTCCCCCAGTCAGTCATTTGCGTTGCAGCTCGCCATTATGGCAGCGTCTATTATTAACTCGGATGTTATGCCCGCAAAGTGCATGCTTCTGACTTTGCTGCATACGTTTCAAAGTCATTAGGCGCTCGCTCGCCAGCAGATGCTAACCCACTGCATATGTGGACCTCGAACCGATCCGTGGTCATTATGCGGCTGCTTATTTTCCAGGTTCCGTGGCCCAAGTGCCCATTTGAACTCTGACCCGCGACCCGCGACCCGCGAAGGTGCCTTCAACCAGCA